CTAGCCCCTGGGCCGCATAAATAATTATTAGCAATTGTCTGCAGGTGCAACAGCAACTTGCAACAGCAACATCAGTAGCAGCAGCGGCAGCAGTAGCCTGACTGCTTATTGTTGATATTGCCCACTGCAATTTGAGCATTTTTCACATTTCCCTGCAAAAACAAAAGACTCAAGCAACGAACTTGATGGCTGAGTGGGACAGGATTAGGGATGTGCTAGATGTATATCGCTGAAATCGTTGCCATGACTGTATTATCGATAGTAACTATCGGAAATGAGTAACTTGAATACAGAGATAAACTAAAAAAGGTTTAAATTGAGAATTTTATGAAAGTTTCGTCAGTCAAAATGATATAAATTCCTTTCTAACTGAATTTTCCTTAAATATTTTTTAAACAAATATAATTATTTTGCCACATTTTGACAGGATATATGCTCATCTTCTTTAAGACCCCAAAAATGAGGTCACCTTAAATGGTTTCTTGGGGTCGTGGTCGGGGATGTGGGCCACCCACAGACACCGACGCACTCCACACTCGACCAGGTAGCCAAGAAAAACAGCAGAAATCGACGCGGCCCTCGAACGTTGTAAACCACTCGAAAATGCTTTAAGGGGGGGATCCACTCTCAGGGGGGAAAAGATGGGTTTGAGGTAGGTAGAAATTATTAACTGACATTTTAATGATGATAATGATGAGGCCCCGTTGACGTTGCCCCTGCAACTGCGTCGGTGGCTAGACATAAAGCCCTCCTCTGCCGCTTCCCCCCCACCGAAATATACACACAGGTAGTGGAGGAGAGAGAAAATCTTGGCCAGGCTGTGTGTGTCTGTGTGTTGATGCTGCATCGGCGTGATTTTTATCAGCTGAACTCGACTGGCGCCAGCTTCATTTTCAGGCAGCAGCTGCAGTCCGTTCCCGAAAAAATATAAAAATAAATAAATAACAGAAATCGAATGGGGAAGTTCGATCGTGGAGTGCATAAAAGCTATGAATTTTAATTGATTTTTTTTTGCTCTAAACAAAGCCGGAGAATGCCGTAGGAGTTGTAATTCATTTCAGCTTTCGTTGCGCTTGTAAAGATTTTATTTTTTTTTCCCAGCTTTTAACTAAAAGTTGCCTCTCTCCGAATGCAGTTGCAGATGAAGCATGAAAATAAGTTTTAAGGTGCAGAGAAAAAAAAGGGACTAATGGGTATTAATAGGAAAATTTGTATAACTAAAGAGAATATTTTATAATATTAAAAAACCACACTTAAAGAAGATTTTGCTTTGCTTTTTAGATGAATATTTCATACAAATTGTGATCTTTAATGGTATTTAATATATATTTTTTAAGGTTTTCTGTCTCAAAATTAAGTTTTCTTTCTGTGTACTTGTTTCCTTGCCTCTTTCCCCAATCCCCTGTATTGCGGCTAATTTCCGAGGCACCCACAATTCGCTGCAGCAGGACTCATTGTCAGTTTGGCGAGGCAGCGTCTGTTTGCAACATGCTTAATGTCATGCAACAACAGCAGCAGCAGCAGCAGCAACATCAGCAGCAACAGCAACAACGCACTGTCACTGTCATGCATCATCATCTCGACGGAGTCTGGAGTCGCTGGAGGTTTCTGCTGCCGTGTCTGCTGTTTGAAAATTATTGCATGTCTCTCCAGACTGCAGACGGTGCAGACTGCAACCTGCCAGTGGAGAGGCTGGCTCCGAAAGAGCGACTCCCAGTGAGTGATGCGATTATCTGCGAGATTCGCTTATCTACGGTGATCCATCAGTCGCAGTCGCAGTCCCAGCAATCCCGTCCTGGCCTCTGGCTTTCGTGCAGAAATGCAGAAAGAGCTGAAAATGCGTAGCCTGCGCGGGCGTCCGCCATATAAATTAGAATGCGCAGGTATCTCCAGTATCCAAGTATCCGAGGGATACACCTCACACTGCCTCTTTATGTGTGTGTGTTTTTAATTTACTCTTTACACCGGGGCTCCCACGGTTGAGTAAATCCAAAACTGACCACCTGAGAGATGGCCAGCACCCGCTAGCAGAAGTTGCGGTTGCTGCCAGGAAGCAACTTGCAACTTGGCGAGTCTTGGGCTTGGTTAAAGTAAACCACAGTTGCCTTCTACTTTTTTTTTGTGCTTTTTTGTTGACTTTGATTGAAAGTTGACACAGCCAAGCGTTGAAAACCACATCCGTGGCGATGCCTACGCAGCAGCAGCAGCAACATCTACTGTAGCAACTCCTGCATCTCTATGCAAATGCAATTAGTTTTTGATTAAGTTGTAGGCAGCCGAAAAAAAATGAAATCTCAGCCTGGGCAGATGCGAAAGAGACGGGGCTAGGCAGTGCGATAGAGACGGGGACACCTAGGCACCCAAAGTACACTTAAGCGCAGAGCCAAGCGACAGACCGTTAAATTGTTGCAATTACCAACGCTAGTTGCCGCTGTGCTTGTCCCGGCGATGTTGCCTCTGAGCTGCCGCCATATTTGCTGGTAAAACAATATGCAAAGTTGCCGGTAAAACACTGAGGGAAAGAGTATAGTAAAGGAAAAAGGAAAGGGTATAGAAACTGCTACTTAAAAGCCATGATTTTATATTAAAATCGTATCTTAAAAAATTATATTTTGCCTTACCTTAAGCTTATATACTACCAACATCTCTTAAATTGTCTTTATAATATATTACCTGAATTTTCTCCCAGTGTCTTTAGGCCTTTGCTAGTGTGGGTGTGTATTGTTAGAGCAATTGCTGCCGTTGCCGCTGCTACTGTTGCTCGGGGCAATTGTTTAGCACGCGCTGCTAATTTTGCGCTGCTGTTGCTGTTGCAGTAGCCGATGTTGCTGCCGCCAGGCAGCAATTTCTACGTTGCATGCACGCCTCGTTGATTGTAGTAGGTGGAACAGCGGCACAGGCACAGTATCAAGTGGAGCTCTGTGCACTGTTTTTTCCACCTCCACCGCCCTCAATCTTGGCGCAGGGTGTCCATGTCCATGTCCACGTCCACATCGCGAGCAATCATTTTAATAGCAGCTCTTTCTGTGGTCAGTTCGAGGTTCTGTATGTAATTTATGCCCGCAACTAATTGCATTTGAAAGTTTAACTGCAAAAGTCAAACGGTTTCCAGATATGTGTGTATGCCCAAGCATGCCATAACCCAAAAAGCCAGCCCAGAAAAAAATATAGCAACAAAAAATAGTTCCCACCGAATAAAAAATAAACTGAAATAGATTTTCCCTGTTGCGTGGCTCATTTGAAATTCGAATTTCAATAACGCACACAAAACGATGTTTATCTCGGGCTTCGGCATTCGGTGTTTTTCGGTATTTAATTTTTTGAGTAGGCGTTGTCGAATAGTTCGGCATTTGGAGCATGATGCCAGCGCCTTGGTCCAGTTCACGCACAGAGATTCAGAGATTGAGGGGCCAAGGTTCATGAGATAAGCGGGATGCTGGGAGCTGGGCGATGGGAGCGGCTTCTGGCTTTGCTGGTGAGCTGCTGCGGCTGCCGCTGTTGTTGTGGGGGTGCGATAAGCCCGGAGCCAGAGTTTATCAGTCGGGCCACAGCTGCGCCACAGCCGCCTGTAGATACAGATACAGCCGCAGATACAGATACAATAAGGCGCACAGATATATTTGTTGTAGAAGTGGCTGGAACAAGTTTTTCGCCTTTTGGCCGCATATTTGTTAAGGTCGCACAGCTGCAGGAGCCGCCGCCGCCGCCGCCACAAAAAACTGGTCACATTGCTGCTGGTCATATGTGCCACCACACATGCATGGCAGCAACCGCAGCCCGCAACATGCCATGTTGCATGCCTAATTGCAACAGGTGGCAATCGATTCAATTGCACCCGCCAGCAACATGTCGCAGCTACGCCAGCAACATGCCAATTAGCAGCCAAAACAAAGCACCGGCCCCAGCACCAGCACCCGCACCTCATTCGCATTAGAGATGTTCAAGTTGAGAAGATAAACTAGCTTTATGAAGTATCTACATCAAAATATTATATCTATATTTATCGAAAAAATCATTTTCTTTGTCTTAAATATCGATTTATTATCGGTTTTACTTTAAAAATGCTTTCTGTGAGCTTGTGGCCTTGTGACCTTTGTTTAGTCTAAATATAGAGGCTTTTTTGTGATACCTAATCGACTTCAATCGATATATTATCGATCTAAAGATATTTCTATATCGAACCATTTACCACCCCTAACTCCCCTCCATTCAATGCAAATCTTGTTATAAATTGCTTAAAGAATTAGCAAATAATAGCCACAATTGTCAAGTCCTTAAAAGGCAGCAGCCACAATTGCAGCTTTGACATCTGTTTGTTTTTTATCGCCGTTGTTGCTACTGGATTAATGAGCAAAAAATAAATAAATTATTATTTATTGAAGGCGATTCTAAACGGTTTCCTCATCAATCAGTTGGTGGCGGCGGCTTTTTACCCCTTGTTTTTGATATCTCTTTCTTTCTCTTTGGAAACTTAACTTAACCCAAAATCTTGGCCACTGTTTTTTCGGTTGCGCTGAACACGCCCACTTAATTTGGCCAAGTTGGTGGGTGGTAACCGCTCTTTTTCAGGGGGCTAATTTTGTAACTAATATTAAAACACTTCAATCAATCAATGTCCAGTGGGTCGAAATATTATAATATATAGATAGTTGGAGCGGCTGGCAGCTCCACTAAAAGTTGTCTAAAATTTTCATTAAATCGCCAGGCAGTCTGAGAACAAACTCGATCGCCAGCTGATCGTGTTTGTATTCGCTATTTGCCTAGGCCATTAAATATTTATGAGCCTGAGATCGTAGATCGCCGATCCGGCTATCGCAGAGCCGAGAGTTTTGTCCAACCTGCCAACTATTTTCAGCTTGATTAATGATCTCCAAGCTCGGCTATGTTCTGCTTTAATTACCGCAGCAATTAGCAGCTGAAAAATCCGCACAATTTGTCATAACAGCAGCATCCGCCGAAATCTTCAATCTCTAACCATGCTTCTTCTCTGATTTTTTCAGACTATGCCAGATCAGCAGCGTTTGGAGTGAGCCACCATCTAAGCCTAAGAGGTAAGTCGCAGCTGCTGCACTCTCTGCCTTATTTTATATATTTTTTTGACAACCCTGGCCTGGCAGCAGCTTTTGGCCGCAGCTCAGCTCCACCTGGCCAGGCAACCTTCACTAAAAAAAAAAGCTGAAACGCATTTTGAATTTAATGCGTGAGCAACGAGGACAACTCAGGGGCGCAGCGAGGGGGTGGTAGTGATGGAGGAGTATGTGGTGGAGGTAGAGATCTCCTACGAATCAATCTTTTGAGGCAGCAAAGTAATCTTAAATATTATTTAGAAAATTAAAAGCTTTTATTAATAAATAAAAGTGTAACGATTTAGAAAAATGTCATATCTTTCTCTTAAAAATTCTTCTAAAATATATACCACAAACACCCATCACACAATTGATAACCACTGACTCCTTTGTGAGCTCTGCAGGTGTTCCACTGGCGGGGGCGTCGTCCACGACCTTCTCTCCGCCAAAGGAGTCGTCGTCGTTGTCGTCTTGCCATTGAAACCAAGTGAAGCTGAGCTCTCTAGACAGATTGCCAAGTCTCGTCTCGTCTTAACAACAACAAAAAACTAAATAAAAACCAAAAATAAAATGAAATAAAAAGTAAATGCAGCTGGACCTGGCCACTTTTGAAGATTAATTGCTCGCGACAGTCGCAACTGGCGATCGAGGCTGAGGCTGCCCCCTGAAGCTGCTCAAGCTGCGACTGCGACTGCGGCAACCTGACCATAAAAATCGGCATTTGTTGGCAACAAACACAGACAAAAAAAAAATTAACATGACGTCAAGCAAGAGCAACACACAGCGGCAACAACAACTCAATTGGCCGGCGACCTTTGCCAATTTGCGAGTGCAATTGCGAATATCCAAGTTGGCCAGTGGCGATTAAGGCCAGAAAAGCGTTCCACATGTTCCAATGTTCCGAAGATGGCTAAGAGATCCATCAGCTGGCCAAGTTGAGATTTCTTTCGACACGCCCCAACCTATAGAGCTGGCTTTTGGGGTGTCATCACATTTGCTTATCGATTTTTTTCGCGTCGCCGATTTTTTTGTATCATTTTTTGTGGGCTGTGTGCTGCTCCATTTTTTTGGCGCGTTTTTGGATTTTTAAGTCTCGTTGGTGGCGCTTTATTCATAAATCCGTCAGCTGCATGAAATACAGCTTAATTAACAAAAAGCCGAGAGAAAAGCCGCAGCAGCACGCAGCGGAGGCGCAGTTCCATTCATACGCGGGCCCATTGAACAACGCCGGAGTTTTCAGTTTTCAGTCTTCAGTCTTTCGATTTTTGGTCTTATTTGTCCACAATATCTCTCTCGCCTCATAATTGAGTTGGCAAGCGATTCAGTTCGAAATCAAAAACGATACGAAACGAAACGGGACGCGAACGGTAAATACACACGGGGCCATAAACAAACGAGTCAAATTACCAGCGAATGAAATCAATTAACACCTGGCGGTGATGAGTCGAGCCATCGATCAATCGATCTCTTGGCCAACACGAGCTGCATAAATTAGCCAACGTCCCCCCAGCAGCCGAGGCATCCGAGCAGCATAATTGTGTGTTCTTTTCAAGCGATTCACCGAAATTAACATATCAAACACAGCATAATTGCGCTTTAATCGCACCCAAAAACCAGTAAGAAAATCAAAAGCCCCAAACTGTGATCGGACACTGGAAATTAATAGCCTGGGATTGCTCCCCCGTGGAGAGCTGTCTAAAGAAAAATAACCAGGGAAGCTTAGGGTCATTTCTTGTCAATGAGGAATTTTCTTTAGTTTGATACAAAAATATTATTAAAAAAAGGGGAAAAATAAATAAAGGTAAGCCAAAGTTTGTATGCCCTTCCTAGAAGATACATACATACTTTGAATAGAAGATACATACTCTTTAGTTTTTTACAAAGATTCAGATACAGATACAGATAAAATAGCTTTTAAACCTTAATATTATTTTACTTTGATAGCTTCCTTTTATATACAATTATCACAAGCACTTCAAAATCCCTCTCGTCCCAAAACCCTTCTCAAAATCCCCTCGAAAACCCTCTCCTTACTAAGAACCCCCTTTCTGAACTCTTGGACTCGGATAATGCAAAGTGACAGCAACGGCTTGTAGGCAATCAAAATGCGAGCCAAAACACGCGCAGGTTGGCAATTGTATGGTGTTGTTTTTGTTTATTTCTTGTTGCTCAGCTTGTTGTTATTATATTTGTTGCATTTATTGTTGGTGTTGTTGTGGACTCCACCTGGCAACGCAAATTGAAAGAACTTGTTGCAGTCAACGGGGCAAAAATTGAATGCTTTGCACTTGCCTTTGCGGTCACAAAAGGCACCACTCTCGCATATACATTGATGGTGGTGGCTTAAAGTAAGCTTAAGGATGGCTTCAAAATATATCGATATTAGTTTGTAATTTCGATATTTATATGAGATAATGATAATGATAATTTCTTATCGATTCTAAATATTTCAACTTCCATAAATAAGTTCAGAAAGTTCTCAAGTTCCATTAAAGTTGATTGCAATATTTTTCTATATCAAAAATATCTGAATATCTTCGATATTTCTCCAAAATATCGCCTGGAATTTGTTTTTCTCGATATACAAACATCCCTAGTTCGACAAGTGGTTCCACTGACTGTGGCGTTGGTGCACTTTTGGTGGTTACAACTATTGATTACAAGCCCAGGGAACGGCTCACATTACCCAAGCGTTGGTGCCGTGTGGTGGACGTGGTCCCCAGTGCAGGCCCAGGCCAGACCAGATGCGGGTGTTGCGCTGGCGTGCCACAGGCAACATGGAGATATTTGCTGCTGCTGTGCCAGGCTCCAATATCCCATATCCCACATATACCATATATATTCGCAGCAAGATCTCGAGCAGAGTCTGTAATTAATGCGGGAGCCTGCGCTGACATTTTGAGAAATTTATTGCCCCAAGTGGATTTATAGTCTGCGACATTTTATAGTTTTGGCCCCGGAGAGCGAGAGCGATAGCGATAGCCTGTGGTTAACGCAGAAAACCGGGCTAAGAGATCCCTGCGAGGATCGATGGGAACGGGAACAGGAACGAGAACGGGAACCCTTAATGCGCATCATGTGCGCGCGCGCATATATAATTTGGCTACCCGATAATGATCGGCCTTTGGCATAATAAATTTTACACAAAGCGAAAAACGAGAAACGGGGAAGGAAAACTTTCAACTTGTTGCTGCGTATCCCCGCTTGCAATCTATATTAATTTTTATATGAAACCCTGGCGAAGGCGAACTGAACCGAGTCACGCTGCTGCACTTTCATAAATGCCAAAAATTTCACCTGCTTTCACAAAGATGATTAAAAATAAATATGCAGCGCTGCAGTTCTCGACGGCCGAAGGTTGATATACGATAATTTCGTTCTGATAATGTGACGTGTGTGCAAGGAGGGGGATGAGGATGAAGATGAGGCTGAGGATGGGATGACCCAGTTGAGGGCTTCGGATCTCTTGGGCTTTTCGTGTTGAGCCAAAAAGCGTTTAAGGCTAATTGCAAAGATCGCTTTTGACTGATAAACAAAGTGCGGAGGGGAGATCTGCAGATTCCAAGGAGAAGGTGGAGTGAGTGGGCGGACTCGAAGGTTTGCCCCCTTGGCGCTGACCCAAAACCTTTTACCCAAACCGAACCCCAAAAAAAAAAAAAAAAAACGAAACAACAAAATAAAGTAAAATAATATATATGAAGGAGAGAAAAAACAAATACGCGGCATTCGAAGCTCGTGCTTAATGATGATTGCTGGCCCCAGAGGTTAAAATTAAATAATTTCCGACTCCAAATGAAGCCGCAGCTCGTCTCAGTCTCTGGTCTAGGCTAAAATGGCGGGCGTTCCAGCCATTCATTTTGCCCGGCCATATATAATTAGCATGAAATGAGCCAAGGGATCTTTGGTTTGGTCAAAGAAACCATTCTCTCTCTCTAGAGACTTTTAGCTTGTGGCGATTTTTTCGGTTTTCAGTTCGTTTTTAGCTCTTTTCTGCTATTTATGTTAATGCAGCAATTAAGCAGCAAATCGTGTGCCTAATTATGATAAACATTTGCCAAAATCAAGAATAGAAATCTCAAAGAGGAAGTGTCACTTTAAGGAATGTGACCAGGCTGTATAGTTTAGCTGTCAGTCAGTGAAAGTGAGGCCAGTTTTATATAGAAAGCAACTAAGGAAGTGTATATCCTGTATTTCCTGATCTTATATTAGTTATAATAATTATTATTAACAGCCAAAAACCTTTTCAAAATTAATAGAAACACTGAACGAGCTACCTTAAGAAGGCTGCTTTTATTCTCCCTTCAAACCTGTTTGCCTCTTTTATTTTCCTGTATTTCTTACCCATTTCTGTGGCCCTTTTAGGCGCCTCAGTTAGTTGGCAACGATAAGGCGGCAATGGTTTAATTTAGCTGCACCAGCGGCGGCAGCAGATGACGACAGGATCGTTGGGCCGGCCTACGTGCAACAGAAGTGGCTGCCACAGCCCAGCACAGCAGCAGCAGCAGCAGCGGCAGCAAAACAAATGTGTCTGTATATCGCAGCTAAATTGACTTTGATCACGCGATCCCGATCCCCCTTTTGGGAGCCAAGTTCAGAGACGGTTCCAGGTTGCAAGTTGCAGGTTCGGGCGCGGCCTTTTGTGGCTCAAACGGAAGTATGCTAAGCAACTTGTTGCTGTGGCAGCACCAGCACCAGCCCCAGCACCACCAGCAGCAGCTGAAGGTGTATATTGCAAAAATAATTACATTTGATTGTAAAAGGCCAGCGTCTCTAGTCTCTGGCCAGGGACTGCTCGGGCCGGGACCTCGGCCTGCCAGAGAAAAATGTGCAACATGATTGCAGTTTACAGCCCCAGCAGCAGAGGCAGCGGCAGTGGCAGCAAAACCAACAGATAAAATGCATTTACAATTGAATTTGAATGTAATTTTATTTAAGTTGCGGTCAGCCAGGGGCAGCCTGTTGCTCCGGCGTTGCTGCTGCTCTGG